GGTCTTCACACCCCGTTTCCCTTGGAAGATCCCCATCTCCATGGTCTTCACACCCCGTTTCCCTTGGAAGATCCCCATCTCCATGGTCTTCACACCCCGTTTCCCTTGGAAGACCTCATCCCCAAGATCTCCACACCCCGTTTCCCTCCGAAGTCCCCTTTTTACCCCGGCGATGTTGCCCTCCCGTCCGCTCATGGACTGCAGCACCGCTTTGTCGAGCCCCAACTTGAGGCTGGCCTTATCGAACATCTCCCGCTCGTAGGAATTCCGCGTGATGAGGCGATAGACCTTCACCGCCTTGCTCTGCCCGATCCGGTGACACCGCGCTTGAGCCTGGAGGAAGACGTTGATAGGTCAAGCCCGGTTGAAGACAACGCGACGCCGAAGCGGCGGGGTGGACCTGGTGGTCACCTGGAGGTCGTTTTGGGGGTTCCAATCGGAATCGAAGATGATGCAGGTGTCGGCGGCGGTGAGGTTGATGCCCAACCCCCCCGCCCGCGTGCAGAGGAGGAAGACGAAACGATCCGAGTCGGGTTTGCTGAAGCGATCGATGGCGGCTTGGCGGAGGTTACCCCGTACCCGTCCATCGATCCGCTCGTAGAGGTACCTACGGAGAGGGGTCACCAGAACCGCGGGTCCAGGAGGCCACCGAGGTCCTCCCCCGGCCCCACCCGTCGTCCCTTTCGTCCCACCTCTCACCTCTTCTGGATGAGGTAGTCCTCCAAAATGTCGAGGCAGCGCACCATCTGGGAGAAGATGAGCACCTTGTGGCCGCCGGCCTTCAGCTTGGGCAGCAGCTTGTCGATGAGCACCAGCTTGCCGGCCGAGCGGACCATGGCCTGGAGATGGAAGTCGTGGGGGACGTGGTGGTGGCAAGATTCCCGAAATTCGGCCAAGATCTTCTCCTCCGCGCCTGTCGGGTGAAGACGGGACCATCAGTGGGGTGGGGAGACCTTCTCGGGAGACACCCCACCTAAAGCAAGACTTGAGGAGCATCAAAGCCCAACTAGATGAGCTTGGAGGACCTCCTCCACCATGACACCGAGCCCAACAGACGGCTCTACGGAGGCCAGGAGAAGCAGGGACAGGACGGCGTTGACCCCTGAGGTTGTCCACCGGTGGTGGGAGGACGAGGGACACCCCGCCACGCCCTTGCCCACCCCCGGGCTCCTCACCGTTGATGAGGTAGGGGTGGTTGCAACACTTGCGCAGTTCCATCATGGTGTTGAGGAGGTTGGGCATGTTGGTGTGACCGGCGCCTTTGGAGAGGAAGGAGAAGTTCTTCTCCAGGATGGCCCGGTAGTATTTCTTCTGAATATTGGTCAACTCCACCTCAATGATGGTCTCCTGTTTGGGCGCCAAGTTCTTCTCCACGTCCTCCTTCAACCGACGGAGCATCATGGGCTTGAGAATGGCCTGGAGCTTCTGCACCTATGGGTGGGACCGGTGTGGAGAAGTCACCGCAGGCCGGGCAGGACCCAGGTGGCCCAGGGAAGGGTTTGGGGTCCTCGCGATGTCCTCACCTGCTCCTCTGTCTTGAGGTCCCCAAAATCCTTGAGGAATTCTGCTTCAGAAGGGAACTGGGAAGGCTCCAGGAAGTGGAGGAGGCTGAAGAGTTCTTCCACCGTGTTTTGGAGCGGGGTGCCCGTCAAGAGGACTTTGTGTTCCTGAGGACCAGGGGGTGCAGAACGTTAGGGTTTGGGGTGGGACGGGCCCAAACATCTCCAGATGCAACCAAGACCCCACACGCACCTTCAGGACCAACCCTTGGGGGGTGGGACAGGCCGAAACATCTCCAGATGCAACCAAGACCCCACACGCACCTTCAGGACCAACCCTTGGGGGGTGGGACAGGCCGAAACATCTCCAGATGCAACCAAGACCCCACACGCACCTTCAGGACCAACCCTTGGGGGGTGGGACAGGCCGAAACATCTCCAGATGCAACCAAGACCCCACACGCACCTTCAGGACCAACCCTTGGGGGGTGGGACAGGCCGAAACATCTCCAGATGCAACCAAGACCCCACACGCACCTTCAGGACCAACCCTTGGGGGGTGGGACAGGCCGAAACATCTCCAGATGCAACCAAGACCCCACACGCACCTTCAGGACCAACCCTTGGGGGGTGGGACAGGCCGAAACATCTCCAGATGCAACCAAGACCCCACACGCACCTTCAGGACCAACCCTTGGGGGGTGGGACAGGCCGAAACATCTCCAGATGCAACCAAGACCCCACACGCACCTTCAGGACCAACCCTTGGGGGGTGGGACAGGCCGAAACATCTCCAGATGCAACCAAGACCCCACACGCACCTTCAGGACCAACCCTTGGGGGGTGGGACAGGCCGAAACATCTCCAGATGCAACCAAGACCCCACACGCACCTTCAGGACCAACCCTTGGGGGGTGGGACAGGCCGAAACATCTCCAGATGCAACCAAGACCCCACACGCACCTTCAGGGAACCCCGCTCTGCCCCACGGAGAGGAGTTGGGGTCTCCCCCATCCCCTTCTCCACCCCCACCCCATCTCTCACCAGGTCCATGTGCTTGAGGCTGTCGAGCAGCTTGCAGTTGCGGTTCTTCAGGCGATGGGCCTCGTCGATGATGACGCAACGCCACTCGATCTCCCGTAACTCGGGACAGTCGGAGAGAATCATCTCGAAAGTGGTGATGAGGGCGTCAAACTTGTAGGCTCCGGGGATGAGACGACCCTGGGGTGGGGAGGAAGGTAAGGAGATGGCTTCAAACTGGTTCTCAAAGCTTGGGAAAGGGGTTCATGGGAAGGTCCTGAGGTCAAGAAGAGCCAAAGCCACCCCTACCCGCGAGTCCTTGCAGTACATCTCGTACTGTTGGATCATCTGCCTGGAGGCCAAACTGCCGTGGTAGACGATGCTGTTCATCTCCGTCCAGGTGTTGAACTCCCGTTCCCAGTTGGTGATGGTGGAGAGGGGAGCGATGACCAAGAAAGGACCGCGGATGCCGACGTTGTAGACCTCTTGCAAGAAGGCGATGGATTGGATGGTCTTACCCAAGCCCATCTCGTCGGCCAAGATGCAGTTCTGCCTGCGGGGAGGCGAAGGAGGCGGCCGGTTGGGGGTTGGGAGGCGGTGGCGACGTCCTCCGGTTGTCCCCTCCCACCCTCTTCCACCACTCGCCTGTTGTACCAGTTGAAGAGCAACCAGTTGACCCCTTCCAGTTGGTATTCGCGAAGCTGGTTGTGGTTCTTGTACTCGTGGGAGAGCTCCAGTTTCTTCCAAGAACCGGCTTGGGGACGGGGCTGGGAGAAGAAAGGAGAAGACGTGGAGAGGACATGGGGCCCTGCCGGAATTTGGGACGCGGGGAAGAGGGGGGAGGTGACGCTCACCAAGCGCTTGAGTTCCGGATGCCGGGCTTGGATACGCTTAAATTCTCCGATTTTTCCTTCGTCTACGTCCTCCTTGAGCTCCCAAGTGCTGTCCTCGTAGGGTAGGGAGCACCACTTCACCAAGTAGTAGACCACCGGCTGCAACCAGAAGGGGGTGGGACACAAAAAAGGGGGCGGGACATAAAAAAAGGGGCGTCGGTGATGGGGAACCCCGTTTTTGGGGACGGGGGTGCACCGCCATCCCGTCCTCACCTCCCCGTTGTCCTTATCGACGCTGTGGGACTCGTCCAAGATGCGGTCTACCTCTACGTAGTCGGGGTTGAAGGGTTCTTCGTCCTTTGGAGGAGGTGACGGGGGGCGCGGTGAGTGG